ACACACCCGGTGCCAAAAGGACAAATCCACGTGCATGGGAAAACAAGAAAGCATTACGCAATCGTCATGCACACGCGTGATTTTTCTTCCTCGTTATTTTGAAAAGGTCACATTTCTCTGCAATGCAAAGTGTGCGGAAGGAGAGAGAGAACAACAACAACAACAACAAAACCCCCGCGTGCTTCCTATTTTACATTCTCACGTGAGCCCTTCGCAAGAGTCTGTGCTCAAATTGTTAAAGCACCAGCAGGATAACATCAAATCTCGTCTGAATTCGTTTCGTTGTGATGCAGCGGTGCTCTGCTTCCGCATCTCCTGGGGCTGGAGAGAATGAGATGCGGGACAAGGCCAACGTGGGTGGGTGTGCCGTGTCTCCCCAATGCCCATTTGGTTCGTACGTGCGCAGGTCGTTGTGTCACTCCACTGCTGGATGAGGGCCTACCCTATACCTCGTGGGCTGGGAGGGGCATTGGGCCATACTTCACCACGCTGGTCAGTGCGGGTTGGTGAAGGAAGGGGTGAGCGCAGAAGACAAATGGATCTTGCTGCACTGCCCTCTACTGCCCACAATGCCTACTGCACCTGACTTGTGCTCATGGCGATCACCGCCGAGTGTGACGTCAAATCTTCGCACCGCCAAGTGTGACGTCAAATCTTCGCACCGCCGAGTGTGACGTCAAATCTTTGCACCGCCGAGTGTGACGTCAAATCTTCGCACCGCCAAGTGTGAAAGATAGAAGTACCCATACGCTTTAGGGGCCGTCCATAAATGACGTCAAGCAACGTCACACGGCGTCACAAAAAGTCAGACCCCCCACCCTCAAATATGACGTCACAAAGCTCTGCCCCCCCCCCCCCCCCACAAATAAAACCATGCTTCAAATCGCTTTAAACTATTGTCATTGTAGTGCGTATTTAATGTGGCGCTGCACTCTGATGTTGTAGGAGAAAACATTTATTAAAAAGTCTCTTTAATTAAGTAGAACGTGTTGTCTATATTTATTTAAAGTTGCGCATTTTGATGTGACGTCACATTTCTCAAGCCCCCCACCCCCACTCGTCACCCCCCCCCCCCCCCCCCTAGGTGCGTGACGTAATTTATGGCCTGCCCGTTACCCATCTACGCCACTGGACATGCGGTGGTGTTTGAGAAACCTGCCCCATTCATCGACAATCGCCGCACTGCCGGAGGATGGAATCGGCCCAGCGACCTGTGGATCGCAAGGCCACGTGCGATCACTTGTGCCGTGAGCAACGGGTTTGGCACACAGCAGATCGCTGCCGTCTGAATGTTTCAATAATTGACGATACCAGCTGGATTACAGCCACGCACGCGGACAATTCATTTGTGTTGCACAAAACAGCTTGTGTTGGCGTGCCACCGCCAGTTGCATTGATTCAAACTTCCGCCTTACGATGTGTCATCGCCTCCCCGTGCCCTCTTTCACCTCGGCATCACGCTGACAAAACAGAGAACCCGCCCCGAGTCCAACTCATTTCCCCTCCCAAACCGCGTCGCTGTGTGGGTCTTTCTCTCAGTGTGTCTCTCTATGTGTGTGTGTCTTTGTGTGTGTGTCTGTGTGTGTCTCACTGTGTGTGTCTCTGTCTGTGTGTCTCTCTGCGTCTGTGTCTCCATCCTGTGTCTCTCTGCGTCTGTGTGTCTCTTCCTGTGTCTGTGTGTATCTTTGTGTCTCTCTGTATGTCTCTCTTTGTGTCTCTCTGTGTGTCTCTCTGTCTGTCTCTTCCTGTGTCTCTGCGTGTCTGTGTGTATATTTGTGTGTCTCTGCGTGTCTGTGTGTATCTTTGTGTCTCTCTGTGTCTCTGCGTCTCTGTGTCTCACTGCGTGTCTCTCTGTGTCTCTCTCTCCATCTGTGTCTCTCTGTGTGTCTCTCTGCGTCTGTGTCTCCATCTGTCTCTCTGCGTCTCTGTGTCTCACTGCGTGTCTCTCTGTCTCTCTGCGTCTGTGTGTCTCCATCTGTGTCTGTGTCTCTCTGCGTCTGTGTGTCTCCATCTGTGTCTCTCTGCGTCTGTGTGTCTCTTCCTGTGTCTCTGCGTGTCTGTATGTATCTTTGTGTGTCTCTCTGTGTATCTCTGTGTCTCTCTGTGGTGTCTATGTGTGTGTCTCTGTGTGTCTCTCTGTGTGTCTCTCTCTCTACGTGTCGCGTTTTCCCCGTGGTTCGAGCTTCGTTGTGCGAGTTGTAATCGTGAGATTACCTGGATGCCTCAACGGACGCCTGATTGTAACGCGGATGCCTTCATCAGGAACGTTGCACTCGTTACAGAGAATAAAACACCCCCCCTCGTCCCCCGCCGTAATTACAACCGAGTTTGATCGTTGTGAAGATCATTAACTAATTTGTCAGCTTGTATAGAGATACCATGATAATAATAATCATCACCTGCTTGTGTGCAAGGTCCTGCTCCAGCCGGCCGGAGCACGCACGCCACACACGTGACACGGTGATGTGCGGCCGGACAAGCCCCTCTCTTATTCTTAGCTCTTTCGGTATATTTTATTATTTTATTGTTTTCCCTTCAACGTGACTTTACCGAAAGAGCTAAAAATATGAATTACTGCAGTCACGAAAGCTTTAAATCAAAATAACAGGTCCCTGCAGGGTGGGCTGGTAGGACAAGTCTCTGCGCTGTCTATTGCTGATTTTACACCCAACAGCACGAGATTTCACTTCGTTAAAGTATTGAAAGGGGACGGACGGACACATTAATCTATTGCAGGCTGGTACACTCAGTTTACAACTTCGTTCCTACCAGTAAAAGCCCCTCTCTGTTACCAGCGTGGACGGCACCACCCCTCGTGTTCACCTTCTGAAGCGTTCGCTCGTCGCCGTGGCCACGTGCGTGATGACCACCGTGGCCACGTGCGTGATGACCACCACGACCACGTGACTCTTCTTTCGTGCTGTGCGCGGCGCATTTAGCGTCACAGCGCGTGGATGTGGAGTGTTTGTTTTTATTTATTTGTTTGTGTTTGTCGGTGACTTTGCGTGTTTCGAATCGGAATCGCCTACAGCGCTGTTGCTGCTGGCGCCAATAAAAGTTGTTTAAAAGTTAAAACGTCTATAATTACGTACAGGTGCGTTGCTGCCAACTAAGTACTGCTATAGCGGCGAGTGTGAATCACGTCGTCTTATGAATAGAGTAGGGAGCGGTGGCGCAGCGGTTAGCGCGTTACGCGACGAACCCGACTTTTGATTCCCGCTCACGGCCAACACCAGAGACGATTATCTGAACCCGGTCCTGGGCCTCCCCCTAAGTCGACTCAGCCTCAAATTAGTACCTGGTGCGGTGTGTGGTCAACATCGCCACTTGGGGTGCTGGCCACACACCCCCTCGTATGCCCCAAAAGTATGTTCAGGCGAAACAGGGGATATTTGTCTTTGTTATGAATACATCTTCTCCATGTTGACATGTTTAGGTGTAAATGTAATAGGTGTCAAACAGCTCAATTCACGCCACTGATTATAAAGCTTCGTGGCAGATTCCAATGCCTTCGTACACATAGTGTTGCGTTCCATACACTCTACAGTATTATATTTATAAACACCTAGGGCACATGTGTAATGGATGTGATGTATTGTATTTCATGTGCATGAGTGGGCACATATATATTGTTGTTATGTATTGTGCAAGGGTTCAAGCCAGCATGTTGTTGCAAAATCCATGCGTGTTGTGAGCTGGCCGGAGAAAGTTATATATTGGTTAGGCTCATAAATGTTGTCTGGGCCTCGCTGTGCGCTGCACCTCTATCCAAGTAGTTAACCTCGCATTCAATAAACTTTCAGAGCCAGGGTGAACGTCCAACTCCAACGTATTTAATTAATGCAACGAGGTAAAACTGATGGAAAAACAGCACAAAATACAGCATGTTATTACTTGCAACATCGATACAACGAACACTGCAGCATCATAACATTGTCCTAGATAAAATGAATTTTAACAATAGGTCCTGGATGGACCCAGGCACCTACATTAGCACTGAACAGCTATACAACAAGAGAATAAGCTACTGTGTTAAATAATGTTACTTTGTGTAATCACCATACTGCAGCACAAATGTACAGTGCTGCACATAACATTGAACTGTGGATAAGATACTTCTTCATCCTTGCTCTCAATAATGCATTAAAGGCACAAATCTGGCTCAACTTATCCAACTAAAAATAACACGCAAGTGTCAGGCTTCGTTGTTAACTAGGCCTCAAATTCATCATAACAATTTAACAGCATTATAAAGGCACTTATAGCATTATAACGGCAATCCTAACATTATAACATGAGCAAACTTGCAGACAATGCTTCTTAAGGTCCCGCAATGAACAGATGCACCGGTCTTCACTGAGACGCTAATTGTGCCTCCATTTTGTACTCTGTGTAATGGCTGACACCCCCGCCTGGCCTCGTGACCCTTAACTCGTAACTTCCTGGTCACGTGACCAAACTCAACACCATATCAGGAAGTTCCTGTGTAAACGCATCCCCCATATCTGCCGTGGGGCAGAACAAATGTACAATAATAAGACATTTGACAATCAAACGTCTTATTGTATATGTGCATTGCCTGTATTATCTTAGTCGCCCCCCTCCCATGCAGTGTTAGTCATAAGGGCTGTTTGACCATACTTCACCATACTGCTCAGTGCAGGGCGAGTGAACAGAATGTGAATCTGAGGCCAGGACTGGTTCAGGAAGAAAAAAAATGAAACCATAAACTTTTTAATTTATATTACCCGGTAAGGCCCCACTGAGTTGTGTAGCTCTTTTTCAGAAGCGACCTAGCCATCACAAATGATAGCTCACCAAAGTGGGATTATCACGTGGACATTTATATCACCCAAATATTATGAACGCATATTGCTTCTAAATGTAGAGGGGAAAAAAAACGGAGGACCCAGATAAAAATCCACGCGACCACGCGGAGAGAGAAATGCAGACTCCAAATATAGAGTAGGCGTCACGGTCGGGATCGAACCCACGACCTCCTGCATACTAGGCGGGGTAGTTAACATCTCCTAGCCACCGTGGAACATCACTCGCCACTGGTATTAGCTGTGGTCGGGGAATCGAATGCAGGTCTCCGGGTGCATAGCGCAATGCACACTGCATCCCCTTGGCATATACAGTGTATGGAGGTCAAGGCTTCAATAAATGTGCGCCTACAAAAAAATCACGAGAGTTGCGTTCGTTATTTAACGTTTTCAATTAAACCATCCAACTGAAATCTATTCTCTAAAGATTTTAGTGCATAAAAGAAAAGGGCTTGCAGTCCACTTCTTTTGCAATGAGTTTGCTTTCTTATTATTGCAGGCGGCCCAAGCTCTCCAACTCATGTAATTTGGTTTTAATAATAGATCGGTAGATAAATATCGTGTCACTGCAGCAGATGGTCGCATGTTTAGGTTTACGATGGCCATAATTTTTATTTTCACATACTGTAATCACCTCCATAACCCGTTTTTTTTATATTCGTCACAGAATAGAAGGGTGAGTTATTTTTAAGAGAGAGATCATTGTTTACATACAATCGAGTACAGTGGGATTCTCAAATAACTGCAAATACTGGTTTTAACAAGAGCACAGTGCCAGCGAGCGTTATATGTGTGGGCTTATTGTGTATCTACAGAATTAAACTATGCAATGTCTGTTACACACACAGCCGCCAAACTCAATTACTTCCAGACTCTCCGTTTAACATTATCACAAGTGGGCAGCATTGCATATACAGTACATCCACAGCAAATAAAAAAACTGGTCCGTTTTGCAAATTAGCCTTTTGATAACTGCAATGCGACTAATAAGTATAAATAAATAACAATTATAAATAAAATGCATGCATGCCACGCATTCGTAGGTGCATGAAACTATAAGATGTGGGTGGGTCATTGGAAGAGCCACTTAATTATTCTTTGGCTCTTTCGATAAAGTCAAGTAGATAGGTTAAAAAAATAATTAAGAAATAAACAAAAAAACCTACGACATTTCGATCGCAACGCAAGCGATCGTCATCAGGTGGAAACTGTTTTTTTTGTTTATTTTTATGATTGTATTTTTTTTTACCTTATCTACGTGACTTTACCGAAAGACCCAAAATAATATGCATTCCTGCAGTCACGAAAGCTTCAAGTCAAGATGAAGCCACTTGCCTTGTCTCGCACCTGCCACCGTCGGCCCTCTCCAAGAGGCAGCTGAACCCCATGGGGGAATTGGCGTGACCTCTGCACGTTCCCCTACAGGCTCGGATGTGTCTCCAGGTCTCATGTGGCCACTATTGAGGTCACGATTAAAGCTTGCGGTACTGTACTCGACAGCGATTCCCAACGAGGAGATGCCACGTCTGATAAAGGACTTGACCAGGACAGGCATAAGTTAATTTTGTTTAACCAGATGATAGATGACTCATGATACATCTCGTTTGCAGGAGTGACCTGGGTCATTAGCCTGGCAGTAGGCGGTGGTGATCACTGCTGCTGCTGTGTGTGTGTATAATCCCAATTGAGTAACTTGCGATGTCATTTTAGAATGTCGCAGAAGTTGGAAGACGATGTCGGCACACGCTGGGGTCTTGTCTGGCGAATTATGTCAGCTGACCTTTGAAAGTCCACTGCGAAGGAGACGAGGCGTTATATTATTACTGCGCTACGATTATAACTCCCGCAGTGTTAACCGGGATTGCCGCTGGGTTAGAATCGCAAAAAGCAATCCTCCGCTAATAAGCGGAGAAACGAAGCTTCATCTCTGGGTCATGTCACAGCCCACGGGCAAAGCGGAGAGAATTAACAACCGTGGCATCGGTTTGTACCCACACGACCCTCTTGGTTACGTCGAGATAGATGACGATGATGATTAATATTCAATTGCACGCCACAGCCACGGCTCATTTGCATTGTTATTAGTGATATAGAGCCAGACGATGTATGTGCATTGCAAAGGACGAGTGCGTTGTGGTGTCGCGGCTTATACGGCGCGCTGCGCTACCAAACCGACGACCCCGGGTTCGATTCTCGCTCACGGCCAACACGAACCTCGTCGTGGGCCTCCCCCACGTTGACTCAGCCTCAAATGAGTAGCTGGTGCTGTGTGTAAACATCTCCCCCGGGGGAGACAAAGGCTACCGGGCGTGGTGCTGGCCACCCACAACTCTCGCGTGCCGTGCCGGCCTGCGAATGCTGCTGCTTACTCGCTAACAGCCAATTTGTCCCCAACAGTCTGTTGAGACGACACGGGGGAGGGAGGAGAGGGGAGAGGAGTGGAGGATCTTTGTAGCAAGTGGAGACGTCTGGTGCAGTCTCGTCTGATAGAATCAACTGAGGGCATGGCGCGTGTTTACGGCTCTCTTACTGGCCGTTATTGTTTGTGTTGGAGGTGGGGGGGGGCATACCAGCAGCCAAGCGATGCTTCTTGCATCCTGCATCACCACTTGTCACCCATGCCTCACTCCCATCTCACTTTGATGCAGGCATTAAACGGACAAGCAAACAAAATGGGAGCAGGCAGTCTTTCAATAGAAAAACAACAACAACAAAACCGGGAGATATTCCGCATTCTGTGATCACTCCAAAAAACGTATTTATAATAATAATCCCGGATTCTGATGTGGGTAAAACATTGGTGCAGCGCACGAACCCTGGCGCCCTGCGGCGTACGGAGAGCAGCAATTGCGATTTGACGGATCTGCATGCTGGAGGGGGGCCCACTTCACTTCACCACCCCCCCCCCCCCCGAGTCACTACCACAGCAGCAGAAACAGCAGCGGTGGCGTCGTCGTCGTCATTGAGAGCTCTGAAGCGGCGCGCCACGGAGATGATGTTCATGTGTCACGCACCCAACACTGCAGTTGCAATGCTGTGTAGAGGTCGCTGCTTTTATTAACCTACTCATCCACAGGTGCCCCCCCCCACACCCACCCAGGCATGGGCTTTAGGGGCTGCAGACCAGGGGCCTCCGGCAGCTGGAGGGCCTCCATGGAGATATTAAGTGAAAAGTTATTTCATTTGCGAATGCTGAATTTTATTTGATGTTAGCCTTGCCAAATTCATTCAAGATTTGAAGCTTTCGTGACTGCAAGGATCCTTGCAGTAACGAAAGCTTCAAATCTTGAATTGATAGCCTCTACGGGGAGGGTTTTCACCTATCTGTAACAGACAACGAGGTTGTTTGAATTTTTTGCCAAATTAAATTTAAAAAAATTTCTTTAACTTTGTTTTCCTTTTGAAAATATTACCGGGGGGCCTCAGTACCTGGAGCCCAGGGGCCTACATTATCTTAATCGGGCCCTGCCCCCACCGCGTAGCGGCAGTGGCACGAGCAAGCAATTGCAGGGCTGCACTTTTGCCTTATAACACACGTGAGTGCGCGTGCAGTTGTTTGTCTTCACGTCACGCCTGCCACGTTGGTCGTCACCCTGCCGCACGTGACAGGGGAGTGACACGGCACAGCGGTAGCGCCTTCGTCGCTTCCCCCCCCCGGTTGCAGACGTTCACGGTTCGAATTTCGGCGGCCGCCCTGGTTATTACTGCGGGTGTTCCCACGTGAGCCGCGTGGCGTGGGTGGGGGGGTGTATCGTTGCTATGTGATCACTTCGTGGAGGCAATGAGACGAACCACGGGGCAATCGTCAATTTTCGCACACACTTCCAGAAATGTCTCTGGGTTTTCATTTGTCTAGGCACGTACGTTGAACTTCTTTCTCACCGTACGCAGCCAAGCGTGCTAATCGAAGGCGTCGTTTAGACGACAGTCCAAATGTTTTCGCGCTCTCGAGTGCAATATCCTTCTGAAAGAAAGCACGCTTTTGCGATTAAAAGTGCGTCACGTGCGTGTATTGTTGACCCCCAGTACGTTGTGACGCTGCAATATGCCAAATAAAGCATCGGCAGGCGCAAATGCAAAGTCACTAAGTGCAGACAGATGAGAAGCTAGTGTTAAACGTTATTACCGCGTTACATAGCAGGCAAGGCTGCCTTGCAGAAACACAAATCTTCCGCGAGTGATGTTGATTCAATATACGCGTATTTGTTTAAAAAATATGTACTCTGTTTGGCACCAAACACAATCTCATAACAAAGCGATAAATGTAAAGGCACAGCCTTGTATTTGCTCGCTCACACTACTACTAGAGGGGGTTCTAAAGAACCCCTCTAAATGGTAATGGAAGAGGTGGTCGTACCCACACTTGACGCGATTGACCAACGATGCTGTGAAACATTTATACTGCTGGGCGGACAGAGGCAGAAGGATTTCATAAACTTTGCCATTTTATTACTGCCACACTGGGAGATTGGAATCGAAAGGCCTATGGGTATGCAAGTCCAGTGTGCTGAGCGATCACACCACCCTTACACAATTACACCACATCAGCATCCACAACTAAAACAAGGGGTTACTTTCAGCCAGGTTTGTGCCCCAGATAATATTTTTGCATCCATTACACTAACCAGATTCAGTATAAATTTTGATTTAAAGCTTTCGTGACTGCAGGGATTCATATTCTTGGTTCTTTCGGTAAAGTTACGTAGAAGGGAAACAATAAAATATTATGTTTATATAATGTTTATTATTTTATTGTTTCCCTTTTACGTGACTTTACCGAAAGAACCAAGAATGCAGATTCAGTATGTATACCTCTCGGCTCTCGAAATGGCTGTGTGTGGCCACCAATCGTTTGGCTCACCCAAAAACCTACCAGCTATTATGGATTGACTCATGTAGCTAGCGAAGGATGCTAGGTTCGGTAATATATGTTATGGATGTCGCTATTGTTAACTTTCAATCACATTTCTTATGATCACTGTTACATTGTCTTTATAGCATTATTTTAGTAATTTCTAGAAAGGTTTAGTTTAGCCAGATTTTTTATGTAGTATAGAGTTAGATTTAAAATTTTAAGCTAAATTGTATTATGATTGTTTTTTTTGCACAGTTTAGTACGCAGCATAAACAAATTGTGCTTTTTTCTGGAAGATTTTATTGTTTTTGTAGGGGATGTCTCAATTTGCGTACAGTTAATTTTAAATGTATCTTGTAATTTTATTGTTTGTTGAGGTTGCACCCGAATCAAGAGCCGAATGGCTCACAGGGTTATTCCAAATAAATGAAACTGAAAGCTCACCTGGACAATATTCAGTGAGCCTCAACACTGCCTGTAACTGTTTCAACATCAATTTGCACAGCCACAGACATCGCAAGACCACTTTATTCAGCTCCAGACCTTCATGGTTTTGTTCTTCAGAAAAAGTTAAAAGATCACGCTCACTTCAAAGAAAGCGTTGAAATCAAGCCACTGCTGTAATCCTTTTTCACACACCTAACCAGGGTGTAATTCCAGCCACCATCTGCCCTAGTCGGTTATCCTGAAGATAAACTATTTTTATTTATTTTACCAGGTAAGGCACCCACTGAGCTATTATAGCTCTTTTTCAGAAGCGACCTGGCTACCACAAATGATAGCTCAACAAAGTGGCTTACAATATGCAATTTATAGCAGCCAAGTACTCGAAACATATCTTGATTCTAAATGTGGAGGGAAAAACCGGAGGACCCGGAGAAAAATCCACACGACCACAGGGAGAGAGACACCGCAAACTCCAAATACACAGCAGCAGGCGTCAGGGTCGGAATCGAACCCACGACCTCCTGCATACCAGGCGTGGCGAGCGAGTTAACATCTCCTAGCCACCGTGGCACTTCTGCATCCGGCACGCCACATCAAGTATACCCCTCACCGTAGTCACGTGCCACCTACGCCAGTCTGCCAACGACACCGAAAGTATTCAGCGAGAACCAATGCCCTGCATATGATAACCCCCTCACCACCACCTACCCCCCCATCAACAAAACAACAATTCTTACCTTTCTCGTGACACTGCGTTGCATTTCGCTCGTGCCAGCAGCACGCACGCACGGCACAGAGGTTGCCCAACTCGAAAAGCCAGCTCGCGGGCTCCCCTCTCTCTCCCTCCACACGGCTGTATAAAAACCATCGCCGCATGATAACACCACGCCGCTGTTCGCCGAGGTAGCCTCTGTGCCAGGCTCACGTGGGTATGGCAGCAGCGGTGGCAGCAACGGTGGGGGTATACTTGATGTGGCGTGCCGGATGCAGAAGTGCCACGGTGGCTAGGAGATGTTAACTCGTCCAGTAAAAACGTTCATGATATTTCTTGCACAAAACTCTCACCTCCGGCTCCCCCACCCACCCACCTCCAACCGAACAGCAGCAAGTAGAATTATTTACCATGTTGTGTAAACCATAATCGGATATTGTCTGCGTGTGTGTGTGTGCAGGATGCATAGTGTTGGCACTGATAGCGCAGCACTCACGTCTCGTGCACTGTAATATTTACCCCTCGAGGCAAGCTGGGTAGCTGGGTATTACCACACGCATTTCTAAACAGACACATCCAACCTTTAAAGCAATTATGAACCTTTATGTCGACCAAATGATGCAATAGTGATGGAATAATAACAATAGGCTTCAACCCTTTCTGGCAATAAGATGTTAAGAAAACACCAGAATAGACACCCATTTGCAAAGCATCAAGTCTGCATTAGCCACACGTACTTGTAGGGAAAAACAACGTGCAAACCAACATGATCTGATGATAATATGTTCATTGTCTTTGAAACTGATTGGTCTTCTTTGTGGCATCGTCTCACCAGTGTTAAACCAGAGAACGCCAGAAGGCAAACAGTACAAAGTCGTAGATATTACTGCTCAACCTGAGCTATTAATGCTTTGATATTTGCATAGCCTTTGTACTGTTTGCCAGAGAGCATGCGTGGTTAATGTAGACTCGATACATTGCAATGTGTTTATTTGGCGTTTGAACATCTTAACACCCTCCTGTGTTATTGGCAGAAATTGGTAAAAGCTTATTCTTATTATCTCATCATTTTGATAGTGGCTAAAAAGGTTCCCCATGAACCAACAGTGCTCACAATCGAATGTGGACATTTTTAAAGAAGCGGTACCAGGTGTTCGAAAGTCAATTGAAGAAGGATCGCACAACGTTACTTTGTGTTTGAATTCTTTTAATGATTTTCATAAGCCCAAAAACGTTGCCGTTTGGCGGCATGGGAATGTAATAATGGGATAAATCTTGAATTAAATAATAATAGAATACGACGTTTCGATTACAACACAAGCGATCATCATCAGGAGCAAAGAGGAAAGCTGATGAGACTGTTTGAAAAGTTTAAAATTGAGAACAGGTTTTCCCCTTTTTTCTGGCAACAAAACATGCTGTGTTGATATGTTAAAACACCAAACTGAAACCTTTTACAACGAATCATGTCTGCATTAACCACACATACTTGTGGTGAAAATACAAACAAAAAACATGCTCTGACAGTATGTGCATTGTCTTTGAAACTGATTGGTCCACACCAGCACCAGCTTTCTTTAGAGCCTCGTCTCACTAACAGAGTGAGACCAGAGGACACCAAAAGGCGTTAGACAAGAGCTGTCGCTGGTGTGGACCAATCAGTTTCAAAGACAATGCATATACTATTAGAGTATGTTTTTGGATTGCATTCTGACCACAAGTATACGTGGTTAATGCACACATGATTCCTTGTAAATGGTTTCAGTTTGGTGTTTTAACATCTTAACACAACTGTTTTGTTGCCAGGAAAAATGGGAAAACATATTCTCATATTTTGGTACTGGCAAAGGAGGTCCTATGATGTTTTAAATTGGTGTAGCCCAAGGGTCACAAACGAAGTGGGCGGGGCTAGTGACGTTAATGTGATAAATTAGCATGTTAATGTGATAAATTAGCATGTTAATGTAAGATTGGAGGGCTACTCTCCTTGTCGTGGAGGTCGATCGCTTGTGTTGTGATCGAAACGTCGTAGTTTTTTGTTATTTTCTTTCAACCTATCTACGTGACTTTACCGAAAGACCCAAATAATATTATAATAGGATGTATGCCTGGTGGCTACTTAATGAAGGCAATAATTGTACACATCACTTTCAAGAATGGTCACATTCACCACGAACTATACGTCACCAGATATAGTTCGAACTCACCAGTAGCAATTCATAATTCATCTTCGTCATCATTCAGTATTTTTTTCTTATTATTATCATCATTATTACGCTTAGTTCACCAAAAAAAGGAATCATTGAGTGTCGAGATTTTTTTTTTCAGGAGTGGTCATGCCAGGTTTTCACTATTCGGGGGATATGTTGCTGCTGTGCATAATCCCAATTAAATAATTTGCAGGTAGAGTGCATTTTCATTCATAACAGAGTTTTTTTGGGTTAAATTGCGTAAATATATTAATGTGTCGTTAAAACCCGCCACCACCCGACACAGCCAACTAGTAAGGGTTGTCACGTAAACAGAACGTGGTCAATTCCTCACTAGTACAGCACTAACCGGTGTGTTGGAGAGCCAAGCCACAACAGTTAAAATCTTACTACGATGCTTCGCCAGTAATTACAACTAGCTTCATCAGGCGACAGCCAGATTTGTGGAGAAGTCCACCTGTCTCGTTCCCTATATCGAGACGCAGATGTGGTGACCACGCTTCTGCGCTCTTGCACAAAGTGGGGGGTGGGGGATTACCGAGTCAACGTACATTGTGCATGCGCATCATGCGAGCCCATGATCTTGTCCTTGCTATCTATATTTCAGTAAAGGGCTGCTCAGCCAATACCATGCTTTCGCAGCAGGGGGCGAAGATTTATGTGTATAATTCCAATTGAGTAAATTGATCATCGGCCACGGTCAATCCACTGCTGGATGAAGGCCTCCCATAAGGATTTTTGTTTATGTTTTGTAACTTTCTTCTTGGCATTTGCTGCTTATACGAAAAAAAAGTGATGGATTTAAAGTAATCAAGTGAAAATGACAGTAGTCGAGCCTCAACCACGTTATCAACCAAGGCAATCCCAAGAGATATGCGCGTATACATTATATATAAAAAATACATCACAAAGAAACTGAAACATTGACATACCATGATGGGAACCAACGAAAGTCATATCAAAATAAGTGGGAGGATAAGGAGGACGTAATCTGCAAAATGTTTTTTTGTCTTCACAACAAGTCTGGAACACATATATGCGTGTAGTGCTTTTGTAGTGGAGTACAAAGGTGCATTGTGGAAACAGCGTGATTATATGATCACACAGACAGTCCGGGTTATCTTGGGTCAGCCTGTAGCGAAGGCGAATACAGTGCACGTTGGGACGCGGGTTAATTAATTGGGGGTGTAATGAGAGCGGGTATAAGAGCAGGAGTCGGAGTCAACAGAGGGGGTTGAAAGGTGGAGAGCCTTGGAGAGGGGTTGAAGAGCGGAGAGCTTGGAGATGAGTTGAAGTGTGGAGAGTTTGGAAGACAGAGTTTGAGAGACAGAGTTTGGAAGACGCTGAGTGCGAAGACGCTGTGTGCGAAGTCGCTGTGTGCGGAGATGCTGTGTGCGGAGTTGCTGTGTGCGGAGACGCTGTGTGCGGAGTCGCTGAGTGCGAAGTCGCTGTGTGCGGAGTCGCTGTGTGCGGAGTCGCTGAGTGCGAAGACGCTGTGTGCGAAGTCGCTGAGTGGGGAGTCGCTGAGTGCGGGAGTGGAAGAGTGGAGAGAGCGTAGTGATAGCGGAGCTGAAGACGAGAACAGCCAGCAGTGGAGTGAGCATAGTGACGGTGATAGCGGTGAACAAAGGCGAAGTAGTTAGCAGTGGAGAGAACATAGCGACGGTGATAGCGGAGAGCGGAGACGAAGAAGTTAGCGGCGGAGTAAGCGAAGTGATCGTGGGGAGTGGAGAGACAAAGGTGGCGAGCGAGCCGTGGCGACCAGGATACCGTGGAATGTGGAGGACATGCTGAGAGTTGTAAATAAAGCGGTGTTCGGAGAAAGACAGAAGTTGTCCGAGTGAAATCGAACACTACACTTTGCACGCGATTTGCACGGGGCTACGTTTATTTTTGTAAAGCCTCTCGAGCTTGTTTTGTTTTCTTTTTTTACGTGCAGAGTCCACAGACGTATGAAGAAGATGCATTGTGCGCTTAACCGTTTTGTTATTTATGTAGTGTTCGATTTCACTCGGACAACTTCTGTCTTTCTCCGAACACCGCTTTATTTACAACTCTCAGCATGTCCTCCACATTCCACGGTATCCTGGTCGCCACGGCTCGCTCGCCGTGCTTCACTTGACTCGCTCGCCACCTTTGTCTCTCCACTCTCCACGATCACTTCACTTACTCCGCTGCTAACTTCTTCGTCTCCGCTATCACCGTCGCTATGTTCTCTCCACTGCTAGCTTCTTCGTCTTTGTTCACCGCTATCACCGTCACTATGCTCACTCCACTGATAACTGCTTCATCTCTGTTCACCGCTATCACCGTCACTGTGCTCACTCCGCTGCTGGCTGTTCTCGTCTCCAGCTCTGCTATCGCTACGCTCTCTCCACTGCGGGCTATTGTCGTCTTCAGCTCCGCTATCGCTACGCTCTCTCCACCGCTAACTACTTCGTCTTTGTTCAGCTTCGCTATCGCTACGCTCTCTCCAAGCTCCGTCTCCAACTCCATCTCCCTTCCACTCTGTCTTCCAAACTCTGTCTCTCAAACTCTGTCTCTCAAATTCTGTCTCTCAAATTCTGTCTCTCAAACTCTGTCTTCCAAACTCTGTTTCTCAAACTCTCCACACTTCAATTCCCCCTGTTGACTCCAAGCTCTCCAAACTCCAACTCCCGCTCCAATTGCCGACCCTCCAATTTATCCACGCTCTCATCACACCCCAATTAATTATCCCGCGTCCCAACGGCACCCCGCGTGATCCGTACACCTGTTTCTCGCCAGACTTCAAGACGCCTCTCCAGCCCCGGCAACAGCACCAACCAATCACAGCCGTCCTTGGCTCTCCCAACCTAATTGCCCTCACATAACCTGTACTGTATTTGTTATCATGTAATCACGCTGTTTCCACAACGTACCTTCGTACTCCACTACATTTATATCGTCCGCAATCACACGAGTGATTATTTTCTGTCTATTGGCTAGAGGTAGTCACAAGAAATCCATTGCATTCAACGTAAATTACGTTATTTAAAAAAAAGCATCACTTCTTATACACGCGATTCAATGCATGTATCATGAGCTTAAGTATCTATATTCTTTGACAAATAGATTGATAGTTAAATCAGCACTTAACATGCCACAAAATGGTGCTCATTTTATACGCCCCTGGAGGGATGAAGAGATAAGGTTTGAAGTCACAACATTAGAATTGTGAGCTACGCATCCTAATCCACCTCATCAGAGATCCACTTTTTAAATTATTGGACCTTTGTCAACCCACTGCTGAATTAATGTTCCCTTCCCATATTCCTTGCTGGTCACGGGGGTTGTTTGACCAGACTATGGTCAATGCAGCTTTGTGACGAGGAAGGGCCAGATTCGGTTCAGATATCACTCACCACTGATGTTAGCCATGGCTGGAAATTTAACTCAAGCCACCAAGGTCATAGTGCAATGGGCTAATCAATGTTCCACCACTCTCCATATCAATGTAAATATTTCAAAGGACAATGTTTGATAAATGGCTCTTCATTGAATATATATTTTATATAAACGCATTTCAAAAAAACCACGTTTATACCAATCAAAACCCTAAATAGAGCACACATCGCTCACTGCCCTTCAAACCCAGCTTATTCCATTCCCCAAGTTTCTCAAACCTGCTTCACCCTCCCTTGGCAGATATCAACAGCTATCCTCTCAGGAATTAATCCGTGTTTGTCATGCCCGACTTGGTTTAACCATCTTACTCACAATTCAAAGCCACGACAATTGCAAGCGGGGCAATTTCCAGCAGGCAGGAAAACACTACCTTCCCTTGAGCGTGAAACATTTTGAAGTGAATGCAATTAAACGTTGCGTAATTGAATTCTGGGGTGGAGCGGTGGTGCGGTGGAAAACGCACTGTGCCACGAACCGGATGACCCGAAATTAATTCCCGCTTCCAATATCAACATCGAGTGATCGACAATCCTCTCACCAACACGCATTGACCAGCGTGGTGAAATATGGTTAAAAAAATCCCACATGATCGACACAGGGCTG